CGATATCATCTGTGAAACGGTTATTCCATAACGGGCAACCAACTCCTGATGGTGTCCGTGAAATATACTAAGGAATGATATCAACTTCACCATTTGGAACTCTTGGTTTAATAACTTCTTTGTGAGCAGCAACCCTATTTGACAGCCATTTGTAAAACGTTTTCTAATTAATGTACGACTGAAATAACAACACGACGACGTTGAATAAAGAATGCATTGCGAGGTATTTAAGCGCGAAAGAGGAAAATGGCTTCGTTGGGTTTTTGGTTTTAAGCTTAAAAAGAATGAGCACAAGATGCAATATTTAGTTACTCTGCAATTGCCTATGCGAAAATGTCATTACGAAATTTCAGCATAATATTAACAGCACTTGTTTTGTCAAGAATATAATCCACGGCTTTTTATTACTTATAATAGTATGATTTCACATACAAAATCGTATTCAGTCATCATTTTAGAGACTTGCATACAGTCCTATAGATAAAGGAGTACATTACAGCAAACTGAATGTAGCTATGTCTTTCCGTTTGAAAGGTAAAATTGAGAATGGAAATGGGGAATGCGTCAAAGAGACAACAACCCGACCAAAGTGTTTTCTTTTTCTTTTCTGATTAACATTGTAAAATAAATACTTGCGTTTTTACATAAAACATCCATAATTCAAGCTGTAATTCCTCGGAAAGAATGTCATGAATGTATATGATTCTGTGCATATTCAAATTGACTTTGTTTCATACTCAAGAGGAAAATTAATTAACGCTGTTTTCTGCTTCGTATGCCTTTGATTGTGCTTTACGTTATTTAAACTTTATTCGACCCTTATATAGTCTTCTCAGGGTGGTCATATTACATATATTACCTAGATCATACGTGGGATGAAATATTTCAATTTATATGTTCTATATACCAGGAAAGGATTTTTAAATAACATTAATGAAAAAATCGAATTTAAAGAACAATGACACGATAATACGAACCAAAATCACGATTATTTATGTACCTATATCGTAAAAAAACTGAAATCATCGGTAAATTTAACTATTAGCATAATATAAAACAAAAGTAAAACAGAAACTCTTTGTCATGAACCGAAATTTTTCACTTTTTTTGTTTTAATTAACATTTTGTGACCTTACTAACAAAGAAATAAAAGGAAATTTTTTGCTAACCTTCCCATATGTTAATTAACGTTGAATGAAAGCAATGTTATACTTACGTTTCGTACTTGTACACCTTTAAACTTCCTTATTCCTATACCAAGAATTTTTTTTAACTATATACAGGATATATCGGTCATCGTTTCCGTTGAATTACTACAGTTATTTACATGTTATCAAGTTAAAAAGTAGATAGATGTTTTTTTTAATTCTTTATATATAAAGAATTAGTGAGCTTTTCTCATCATTTGTCGTCCGTCGTCCATCCTACCTTAACTTTTACTAAAATATTTTTCCTTAAAATTACTGAGCCAGTTTTCACCAAACTTTGCAACAATAACTATGAGGATAGTTCGATGATCCCGCCTACAAACCAAAAGTACTGACGTGGTTGAAAATAAAAAAAATGTTCTGATATCATACTGAAAACATCTTGCGCTTTTGTCTAATACCTAACAAATTTATGGAAGATAGATAGAAACTTTTAAGAGCAGAAATAATCATCAATTTAAGGCCTTTGTGCATCAACAATGGACAATCGCCAAATATGATTTATGACAAAACTCAATTTTTATTGCTGATCAAATTTTTAGGTTTATAGTTTCTCTCACCTTAAGGCAAAAAACATACACAAAGGTAACAACATCGTCATTTAAGGGCAATCACACATAGGAAGTGTCTGCAAACGATTTCGTCAAATTTTGACTTATTTGTAGATATTATCTAAGAAGTTAGCAATATCCTTTAACTTTACCTTCCGCTATGATGATGTTCTAAAATTTGGTGACTATGTTGAACGAATCTATCCCATCGAACTAGAGATAAAGGATACTACAGATACAGTTAAGTCTGCCTCATATCTTGACTTACATCTAGAAATTGACAATGAGGGTCGGTTGAAAACAAAACTTTAAGACAATAGAGATGATTTCAGCTTCCCAATTGTGAACTTTCCATTTCTATGTAGCAACATTCCAGCAGCGCCTGCATACGGAGTATATATCTCCCAATTGATACGATATTCCCGGGCTTGTATTTCCTATCATGATTTCCTTGATAGAGGATTTCTGCTCACAAGGAAGCTATTAAACCAAGAGTTCCAAATGGTGAAGTTGAAATCATCATTTCGTAAATTTTACGGACGCCATCACGAGTTGGTTGACCGTTATGGAATAACCGTTTCACAGATGATATCGGATATGTTCCTTATGTCGTAACTATACAATACCCTTCCCTTTTCACGAATGTGACCTACCGAATTATACTATTTACCGGATTTGTAATAACATAAGCAACACGACGGGTGCCACATGTGGAGCAGGATCTGCTTACCCTTCCGGAGCACCTGAGATCACCCCCAGTTTTTGGTGGGATTCGTGTTGCTTAGTCTTTAGTTTTCTATGATTTGTCTTCTGTACTATTATTTGTCTGTTTGTCTTTTTATTTTTAGCCATGGCGTTGTCAGTTTATTTTCAATCTATGAGTTTGAATGTCCCTCTGGTATCTTTCGTCCCTCTCTTGTCAATCATATTTGCCTATCAAATGTCTACCCATCTTTTATTTTTTTCAAGAAAATAAACAAAAACAATTAATTTAGTATACATCGCTATTACAGAGCAATAACTATTATCAATTAGCTACTCTTTTTTTCTGTTTACAGATTCTCAATCTCCTTTTTTTAGTTTTTGTCCAAATTGTTGATCTGACAACTAGGGTTTATCTCAAAACGTAGTTTGTCCTTCAACAATCTTTTGAAAGTTTTAAAGAACTGTGAGTTGCCCATCATAAGGGAGGGTATACCCTTCACCACCATATTTAATTACGCCACATTCTCTGTTAACGAAATGTAATTACGCTAGGCCATCAACAATGAGGAAAAACAATACCATATAAGAGTCGGCAATAAAAGGCTCCGACATGAAAAATGTGAAAACGAAAAAACTAACGGCCTAATTAATAACTAAAAGCTCCTCACTTGGGACACGCACATGAATAATGTAGCAGGGTTAAGCATATGTGTTAGCGCTCTACCCTCTCCTCACTTGGAATAGTTGTGTTATATAGCAACAAAATAAATGCATCTTACAAAAACAGACCGACGTGGCAGAGTATTCCTACATCTGAGAGTACTTGCATCTACTCACAGCGTTCAAAGAACAACAAATAAAAAAGGTATCTCAGACGAATATGTCAATCAGAAAACATCCATTCCATAAGATTTAACTAAATTGCACAATTAACTATAAACACCTTTTTGTTGGCTTCTTTGTAAAAAATATTGGTATGTTTTTTTTTATTGTTTTCAGTCAGTTGTTTTGTACATCTATGATGTATGATTGCACAATTTTAGCTGCTTGATCAAAAATATTGTCACGAAAAACAAATTTAAATTATGTCTGCATTGTTGCTGACCTCATTTGATTAATATGTCAGAACTGAATTTGAGTCTAAGATTGTTCATCTAAACGACGCAAATGCTTTAAATATATGTCACATTGTAGTTCATGAAAATACCATTTTGTAACGTTCCTCGATAAAAGTTATTGGCCGTATTTAATCACTGCTTCTATAAATGCAAGGCAACGTTCTAATGGAATACATTAAAAATAAATAAAGAGACCGTTTTCTAAAATAAAATTAAGTAAATCATATTTTAGCATGCGAAATAGGTGAAAGGATAAGAATGATAGATGAACGATTACGACTAAAAAAAAAGAAAATGACCATTCCTATCAAAAATGAACTAAAGACTTATGACTGAAGAATATAATAAAAAAAAAACAAAGCTGATCACATATGCCCAATTAATCGTTCCTCTTTTAACCATTACCTTTACATTTAAGCAATGTTTTTGTTTAGAATAAAAGCTTACTAACGCCGTGACTGAAATGGACTGACCAACTTATATTTAATTGTTTCATTTTTGTGCTTAATTTTTATGTATATAATTAAACCATAGCCGTGAAGTCGCCTATTCATTTACCGTGATTTCTTTTTCTAAAATCAACACTTCCTAAATCGGTTGCTGAAATGTACTCACCAAATTATATTCAATTGTTTTCTTTGTGTGATTAAATTCGTTAAGTTTGAATCAGCTATTTTACTGATTTCTGTTCAGTAACGGAATAAATTTAAAAACTAACGTTTAATATTTGTAGTTTTTATATGCCTTCACTACGAATTGAACCTTACCTTGAAAAATTTCACTGACATCGACACATCAATGAAACCGCTCGGCTGTCAATGGGTTGCAGTTTAGATGGCTATTTCATATATATAAAGGAACATACTATACATATCGGTACAACAGACACACAGGGCTTGTACTTTTATATACACAGAAAAAACAATCGTATAGTATATGTTGGTAGCCGCGAGGTTAAGATCAATGAATTATAAAGTCAAGTTAGAAGTGAAGACTTGTGGGTTAAGGCTCGAATCCCTGGTTTCTATTTGTTTATTCCAAGCCTATAGTATTTCCTATTTTCTTATTTTGTACGTTATTGTGATTATTTTTCGTAAAACTAGTGGGTTTTCACGTTTGTAGCATTCAATTTGTCTAGTATGGTTTTATAAATATTGTATAATCTTAAAAATACACAAAACACAACATGGAAAACTAAAGACTAAGCAACATGAACTCCACTAAAAACGGGGTGCTCTCAGATGCTAACATAGTAACATAGTAACAGTGTTGTTTAAACTCACTTACAATACCTTCTTAATAATAAGCGGCTTATGGTTTTTTTTTAACAAAACAGAGTTTATCAATTGTATCTATAATACATATATAGTTAGAAAAAAATGTACTGAATTAAATGACTTTAAGACTTTAACAGCATTTTGACCATTATATTTTTATTTTGATAAATATATATATATAATGAGTAAAATTACATTCGTAAATAAGATACACACCGGAACAATGGACACACATGGCTTAATTTTGTAAATTTTAGATTATATTCAGATTCAATATATTTCAATGGATATGTCAGTACAGTAAGTTCTCAATTTTTAAACAAGCAAAGACTTTGTCAGATGATGTTTCAATTTTTTGTTTCTTGATGAAATAAAAAAAATATTGAACTGGTCAGAATATTTGCATTACTATAAAAGAACAAAGCTTCTTAAATACTATTTGGATTACAATATCCCCAAATCTTGTATGAAAATGTCGAATAATAAATTGAAACCATGTATATGATATGTATATGTTGATTACATTTACAAAACATGCCAAACCATATAATAATTTTTTTTATCAGTATCTTCTTTTGACAGCCAAATACATTGTTGATGTCGTTCATTCATTGAAGAACTGAGGTGATTCACCATAAACACCGGGAAAGAAGTAAAATTTCTTCCTCAGATTTGATTTAACCTCCGATACAGTTAGCTTCTGTTCATATAAAGCTGAACCTTTTCCTTTTGCGACTAATCTGTTTACCTAAAAACAAAAACCATCATAATTTTATAGATCCCGTAAAGTGATAAGAAGATCATGTAAACCGATCTCTGTGTAGTTCTTTTCATCTCCTATCAAATTATTAATGTTTACATTCCAGAATGGTAGACCAAGAAATACTTCTCAATGCAAAATACAACAAAATAAAAAAATATGTCACGACGATTTGCTGTATTTTTCGGAAGACCGTGTGCAGTAGTGGACTGTAAATATGAGGACTAGTTAGTTTTATGCAGAAAAATTTCAGTCAGATTATAAAAAGGGTTTCCCTGATAATCTGATGTTTGGAACCAAAATGCTTCATCAATCAGCATAGCATTCCTTGATATGTTTTTGAGCTTTTACGACAAAGGTAAAAGTATCTCCTTTCGATTTTTGCAAAACAGATATAAAAATGTATCAGTCGTCCAACTGTCCGTATCACCCTGCTCAGGTCTTAAGAAATTTCACATCACGGCTTTGTGAAGTCAAATACGATGATCCGTCTTTAATAACTTTGACACAGACATATATCATTGATGTCATAATGAATGAACCAAAGTTTTAATCTGACCCAAACTTATCAAATCCTCTTTCAATTTGCTGTTGAAACAAAGAAAACACTTGTTTTTATCATGACAAATACGCAAATTAAACCCGATTAATTGATCAGCTGGTTGTCTGCATTTTTGTACTGTTATATGTGAGCGTCGCGATGCAATATGGAGCATTTTTGAACTCATCCGCTGCGTTTACTCGACAAAATGTTTCACAGTGTGGCTCGCAGCTGATATTTACAATACCAATATGCAGACAACCTGATAATCGATACCTATACAACTATCTAATGAATCTTATTTTACTGACTTTTGACATCGACAACAGTCGTTTCTTCACTATAAATAGTCTTTGTTATATCTTGATATAAATAATACCGAGAAGGTAAGTTATTGGTCACTATGTTACCAAATATATAATTTCCCTTATCAACTGCTCGACACAATATAAAATTCAATCAATGAACACAATACGCTTCATATGGCACATATAATTTATAAAAGATTCTATCTTTTACATAGAAAATAGTATTTCACCAGACATTCGATGTTGGTCTCAAATAAGGTAAATAGTAAAAATTAAAGTAACTGTCTTTTTTGGAGTAAATAAACTTGAACTTATTTAAACTCTAACAACAAAACATTATTAACGATTTCTTTCTGTTTCTTTCTGTTTTAATATTCTTGAATATTCATTTGAATGCAAAAGGGGCAGTCATAATTACATAAATTGAAGCAGGGCTGACACCACCATGTTGCAATACAGACAACATACAAAAAAGAAGTCCACAAAAGGTATAATAAGAAAAATACCGAACTCCAAGGAAAATTCAAAACGGAAAGTCACTTAACAAAAGGCAAATGCTAAAACACATCAAACAAATGTAAAAAACAACTGTCTTATTCATAACTTGGTACAGGCGTTTCTTAATGTAGAAAATGGTGGAATAAAAATGGTTTTGAAGCTAGCGAACCTCTCACTTGTATGACTCTAGCATAAAACCCATTATATTGACAACAATGTGTGATCAAAACAAACATCGAAGTTGGAGAACAACAGTTAGCATTGTGTTATAATCTTACGCACTAAATATAAAACCAACTATGTCAACAAAGAAAAACAAAATGGCATGTAGACACTACATAGACAAAGCATTTAAGCAAAAATAATAGACAAGAATACAAAAAATTACCATAGCACAATAACACAATGGCGGCATGCATAAATAATAATTCATGCCAAAAGGATATTACCAAAAATAAATGGACTAAACAATAAAGGTTAAAAATATAGAATGACAAATAAAAATAACACTATAACACGTAATTAAGATGATAAAAAGTAAAATCACAAAAATACTGAACTCCGAGGAAAATTCAATCGGAAAGTCCCTAATCACATGGCAAAATCAAATGACAAAACACATCAAACGAATGGACAACAACTGTCATATTCCTGACTTGGTACAGGCATTTTCAAATGTAGAAAATGGTGGATTGAACCTGGTTTTATAGCGCTAAACCTCTCACTTGTACGACAGTCTTATCAAATTCAAACAACCTCAGTACCTAAAATCTAAACTTCAGGACAATCATGTATGATTTGTGAAGTCAATACGGAATATTTGTCAACAATATCTTGGTATCTTTAATTTATTTTTTTTTTACAAAAAGGGACATTCCTTGACATTACCCTGATTCATCAACTTTCTAGTGAGACGCTGGCAAAATCACACTACAAAAAACTCGGTAGTGTTCAAATATATGACTAACGACAATTGACTATATTCCATTGAAACATGCGACGGCAAATACTTTCTACAGCCTTTGGAAATATCAAGTTCTTTAAAATGCTTTATGTTTCTCAATATGGGAAAGAACTAGTTCATGACATACAAAATATTAATCAGATCAATCGGATATGCCCTTATTTGCCAATATTTAGTCAAGTTTATTGATGTCCTAACTAATTAATTAACACTAACTACTTTCATTCAATTTATAATATATTAAAGAGGGAAACGTGGTGGGATGTTCAATATGACAACAATCTACCAAAGAACCACAGTACAAAGATATAAGTTACTTCGGGTCATCATACAGTTTTCTTTGCCAGAAATTAAATTGGTGTAGCTTAGCTTTACCAAAGTTGAACATAAATCATCAGCGTATTTTCCCAAGTACCCTGTTTCAAAGAACATAATTTGATTTCGAAATGGTTACTTTATTATAGAGACACGTTAAGTATACTAACTCTTATAAGTAGATGTTGCAGCTCTTCACGTTTGGCATGATATTTGAACGTCCAAACAACAGCATTTAAAAACCAGGATCCACTTTCAATATGCCTGTAGGCGGATGTCCCTGACAAAACATTAGGTAAAAAAGACATTATTTTATGCAGACTTAAATATAGCAGAAAATGATTACAAATCATAGCTAAAGTGTGTGGGTTGTATAAGTTGCTTCATGGTTAATGAACTGAACAACGGTTTACTGTATTCATGTTTTAATGAAACGCTGTATTGAAAGCATTTGTTATACAAGTAAGTTTTTTACCATTCATGTCCTTGAAGTTATAGTTACAGTTATACTCATCATAATTATTTACAATGGCTCTTATGTATTCGATATTGTTTATCGTGATTCGATCGCGTAAAGAAATTAGGTCGATGTTAGATTCGCGATGTTGAAGACCCATTGGTGGCTTTCGGCTTTTGTTTTGGCTCTTTAATCGGGTTGTTGTTTTTGTCACATTCTGCATTTCCGTTCTTAATTTTATCTTTTTCAATAATAAACATAGCAATGCTGTTATTGTTTTTTATGTATTCCAAGTTACCTTCTGGTGTTGCATACACAATAAAAAAATCTGCTGAAGGGTGCTTTACTTGTGTTGGCTTTTCATCATGGAACGTTTCTGAATCTAGTTCATCACCAGATTTAGGCTGGATTTTCTGATTTTCCACTTTTACGCAAAGCTCTGCTATTTTGCCCTGATCGGTTACTTGAAATGAAATTGAACATTTACAAAAATGGTTCAAAGATATATATCAGTAACCAATAAGATAACCCGGTCAAATTGAAAAAAAAACCGAACTTCAAATTAAGTTCAAAAAGGTATACTGCACATAGCAATATATCATTTCAATATTCCTTTTTAATAATTGCTTCTAACTCCAAAAATATTACTTCAATTATTTGTTTAAATCGTAATGTTTCTTCCTTATTACCTTTTAACATAAAGGTGCATATATCAGATAACAGTATGTTTACGAAGCAATTAAAAAATTGGCCTCCGTACAACATACAGTACGAACCCGTCAACTTTTTCGCAAAAGTGACAACACTAATCAATGCGATTCATCACCTGATTTCTGGTAATTATGAGTAGAATAATGGTTAAAACATTTAAAGCAGGACCAGATCACTCTTCTGGAACCCCTATACACTTTTCATCATTAATTTGGTGTACAAATCTCATAAATTTCGCAATACGTTGTTCTCGTCTTTGGCAACAAAAATGTCTGACGTAAAAGATACATTTTCGATGTCAAACGTTAACACGAGACATTTGTTAAGTTTTTGTAGGCTTTAGAATTGAATAGAAAGTGTCAAAGAGGACTAGAAACATCCCTATTTTGTTCATAACGAAACACTTAACATATATTCCTGACTTCATAATGATGGAATCCCTTACTTACATACAGGTTAATCGGGGATTAAATGCTGATCGTCGATACCAAACAATACGCAATTATAACTCATGACCGACCTTTAAAAATCGTTCAAATATGATACAATGAACGTCTACAAATATCATCTTGAAGTACAGGAATTTTCATCTTATAAAATCAAACACAGTTATCCCTCTACCACTTCCAGAGTTTGTCCAAGCATATTAGTACCGTTACCAATAGATACTGATAAATTCTCCATAGATATATGACATATATAGCTAAATTCCTAAAATTAATTATCTTTTGCATTTATTCTTATCGTATTACCTCCTCGACAAGCTTGCACAAATACCAATCTTGGTTTGTCATCTAAACCTATGCAATGTTCTGAATCAAAAACGTATGTGAGATCTGATAATTTTATTGGTATGCGGTCGCTTCCGTATATGTAGCCAGATGTTCCATGACTCATGAGGATAAGGACTATACATTCAATGTCCTTCCAGTTCTCTATTTTATTTCTTTCTTTGATTAGAAATTCGAACATTTCCTACAATGATATCGAAAAAAAAAACTTATAAATTAATTTCAAAGAAAATCCTTGGCAAATATTGGAAAAAGTCATCGATTTAGACTGAAGTTTCAAAAAAATGTTGTTAAAATCCCACAATCTCATAAAGAAATTTTTTTTTAGGTCAACAATTCTATAGTGGATACACACATAATTTAAAATGAAAAATCAAAAGTTCAGATCATATTGAATAAATTTTGAACATTTTTTAAGTTGATGTCACCCTAACTTCATTGTAAACTACCTTAACCAAAATCTTTAACCAAATAAATAGTCAATGAAACTTAACCCTAAATAATTTTCAAACATGTTTCAAGTTGATGTGACCCCTATCTTCATGATAAACTACCTTAACCCATATCTTTAACCAAATAAAAATTGAGTGAAACACGAATTTTTGGCATAAATCCCCAATCTTCCCAAATGGAAAACTTGAAAGCCTACGACGAATAAAACTGTTAATACATGAGTAGCTGTATGACCTGTAGACCCGTAAAGTTATCAAAATCTGTCCATGGTCAACTGTGCTTATAAGGTATGAACATTAGTCACTTAATAATTTCGGATATTTATCAACAATAATTTTGGGCGGTATGTTATAATCGTGTCAGCAAAAAAATACTGAATTCTGCTCTAGTTACCTTTTTCGGTTATATCAGTCTCTCAATGTTTGTCTTATGCTTCGGTCTTTAAACATTGTTTCTCGATCATAACCGAAAAGACATTATCAGTGCATGGTGCAGTTACATGTATACCGTTTCTGCTATAACTATCATTGTATTCTTAAAAGTTAAAACACTACAATAAACATCTGTACTACGTTTCATGATACCATGACTACATTATAAACTGCTTTGAACCAAAACTTTACACTGGCACGAGAAAAACATGATAACAGACGGTTTTCCTGAACGGTAAAAGATCCCTTTTGTAATATTCGGATAAAAAAATTCAAAGAATATGTTAAATGCTTTCGTATTGTCCATATTGCATGACGAAAATGGTTAACTTAATAGCCTCACCTTTGCTGGTGTATCTGTCTTTGTTACAACTTCGAAATGCAACTCTTGGAATAAATCTGTCAGATTTTTTACATCAACGTCTGAGCCATGTCTTTCCCAGGTTGAATTTGAAAATTTATTATTCATAATAAAGACCTTTCCTCGTTTTTCCCAACAAAGTCTATAGACATCCTGTTAAAACAAATGTTCTCTAAAATTATTTTGATGTATCGAATGAACAGTTCCCCCTTTTATAAAGCACCTTTCAAATTAAGTTATTTATAAATATAAACAAGAGACCAAAATGACCAACAACAGTACACAAAACACAAGATAGAAAAATATATAAAGACAGAGCAGCACGAATCCCACTCAAAATCCAGAAAATATTTCTTTATAGATTACGAAACGCTTTTCTTAATAGACCTTCATCAGAAACGTCCTACCCTTAACATTTGAAAGGTGCAACAATACGTAGACCCGTTAGGAGCAATATGGCCAAAAGGAACAAATAGGGTCAATTTTTCCTCTGTTATTTGGATACCTTATAGAAATAAGAAGATGTGGTATGATTGCAAAAGCGACAACTATCCCCCATATATTTTTGTTTATTTAAGGCATTCTACATGTATCAAAGGGGAATTTTTTGAAAAAGTATATTACAAATTAAATCAGTACAAAAACACTGATTACTCAGCTGATGATATCTGTAAGTCCCAAAGTAGGACAAATGTTTCCATGCAGTGGAACAAATTCCGTGCTAGTAAATAAAATAACAATCTATAAAAGAGGGTCGAAAGATACCAGAGAGACAGTCATACTCATAGATCGAAAATAAACTGACAACGCCATGGCTAAAAAGAAAAAGACAAACAGACAAAAAATAGAACACAATACACAACATAGAAAACTAAAGACTAAACATAACAAACCCCACCAAAAACTGGGGGTTATCTCAGATGCTCCAGAAGGGAAAGCAGATCCTGTTCCACATGTGGCACCAGTCGTGTTGCTCATGTTATAACAAAACCGGTAAATAGACTAATTCGGTAGGTCATATTCGTGAAAAGGGAAGGGGATTGTAGTTACGAGTTGAGGAACATATCCGATATCATCTGTGAAACGGTAATTCCATAACGGTCAACCAACTCGTGATGGCGTCCGTAACATTTACGAAAGAGTGATTTCAACTTCACCATTTGGAACTCTAAATGTTGCACGTCCCTATCGGTTTTCTAGATTTTCCTTTATCAGGACACTCAAACATAGATATTTGTAAGCAGTGATGAAAAACATCCAAAATTAATGAGGAACTATATGAGCTATATAACCAAAAAGGTTCTGAAAGGTAAAGCCAAAATGCAACTAAAATCAACCATGGCTGACAGAGTTCGAACCTAATTTTATTTAATAATTTCTTTATTTTTCAAGGGGATTAGAAACTTATGTTATAAAACGTGCTATTACCGAATAACTGACTACTGAATTGGTGACACATTAGAGAATTCACTTTCCACCAGAGTGGTATAGACCCATTCATTCAGTTACTGAGAATATTTTGTAATAACGAATCATTTCAAATCACCAGTACCAAAACACTATCTGTGTAGCGGATTGTACACTTGTGTGAATGTTTCTGTATCTGCAGTGTTATCGACACATTAGTTAAAAATAACTTGAGCGCGACTCTTGCGTGACTTTCACCACGTAAATTTAAAATGAAACGTTTGGAAAGTCAGAAACTATAACGATTGTGTTTTCCAGTTTAAAGTCTTAAAGTCAAGTAAAAACTAAAACTCTTAATAGTCAACTTTGATTCCCGGAGTTGCATCCTTTCTTATGTATACTTATTAACTATAAATATACAACTACAAATGTATGATAACTGTTTCATATGTAAATATTGCTCGTTTGATGTATTGTCATTATGAGTTCTATTATGTTTTTTCTTGCATCATATATAAGGATAATATCGTATATAGTTTAACGATATGTTTTACAATTGTGAGGATTATTGTTTGCTGATTTGGTCAACTTTGTTTCGAATAACACAAGAAACATTTTTATTCAATTTACTTAGTACTCATTTTGATTAAGAGATGCAGATTTGTAGCTGACAGATGTTACCAAACTTCGATATAATTTATATGAAAAAGACCAATCAACGCTTCAAATGTTAAATATAAAAATAAGATTCAACATACAATCGTTTTGCCATAAAATATCAAAGCTATTTATATCAAAACATGATAATAATAATTGACTGCAGCAAAGGAAACCACAGTCGCAAAAGTAATTACATACTTCTTTATTATAGTCGTGCAAAAGAGGACTTTTTAGGTCTTTTATTTTAAAAACTCCATGCTCCTCCATGGCTGTTTGTTCAGATTTCTCTGGTGGCCATTCTGAAACACAAGATTTGAACTATGAATTTATACTATACCGTGGTCAAAATAAAAAATAAGGTATGTTAAGGTCTAGAGAGTTTCTTGAAAAAAAACAGATAAACAAAAATACCGAATTCCAAGGTCATTTAAAAACCTGCAACCACAAAACCAAAAACTCGCCTATAAATATACCTGGAACCAATGAAAAACAGCTGTCCTATTCCTGAAATTGATATTCTGACGTGTATGTAAGGGCAAAATACTTACAAAAAGAATATCAGCTTCATGTAATATACCTTTTTCTGTAGCATTATCTGAAAAAAATGTCCAATCTTTCTAAAGCAGTAACGTTGTTGCCATGTTGGAAAATGTGGGAAAATCGTTTATCAATTACTTGTTTTGTTTTAAAAAAAAATGATTTTGAGTGAATGACACAGGATAATCGAGTTTATTGATGGATTGAGTTAATCACCATACATCGACACGTTTAAATACTTAAAGATATTCCTAATTGGTGTAGTTAAAGTCAACCTTCAACCGTTTTGCGGACGCCATCACGAGTTGGTTGAAAATCGGTCTACAGAAGACCTTCTCGGATACATTGGCAGTACAACATTTTACAATCCCGACATCTTTCCTCGAGGAAAGTGACATCACCTAATGAGATTTATCATAGGATTTGAACTTGCATGACTTGTACAGGTGTAGCTGAAACTGCTTACTCTTCATAAGCATATGAGTTTACCCCGCATCAGGTTAGTTATAGAAAGTAATTGTTTATGTTCCAAGAACCAGAGCTAAATACTATTAACGTTCCTTGTTGATATCTGGAAGTTTTTTTGTGAAACAATATATATAAGGCTTAATCTTTATAAAAAACAAATGATATTGAAGAATATTTTGTTAAAACCTAATAACAGTAAAGCAGTATAATATTTGTTTTATTTTTTTTATTATTGAATTTCATACTTTATGCTGTAATATATGTACAGCTTGCTGTTCGGTGTGAGACAAGTTACAAATTGTGACTTGAATGAAGACCAAACGTCCAAAAGCTTATTATTTTTACCTTTTGGGTCATTAAAATTCTCTTTTTGTTCAATAATCTTAGCATAGGGTAGTAACAGATCTGCCAAATGATCATTCCCAGTTTCTTGGAAAGCATTGTAAAGACTTTTAACACTACGTTGACCTCGCCTGTGGAGAGTGTCAAGTATCATTCTGTTCTTCTGTTCTGTCTCAAGTTCTTGCTACAAAACAAATATCCAATCTGTTATAGTAATATGCTTTACAAAGCACAACAATGTTGGCATTCACCTCAAAACCTTACCAAACCTTAAAACAGACTTATCCAGAAGGGATATAGTTACAACACTGTTGTCAAGTCATTCTTTTTGTACCTATTCTGACATCGCACTTGGAATTCTTTAAAACTCTGTTTTACTGTCAAGAGCCTCTGGCCTTTATTTGACTTATGTTTTTAATTTTAGTTCATTTATATGTTTTGGAGTTAAGTATGACGTCCATTTTCACTGAACTAGTACACGTTTTATTTAGGGGCCTGCTGAATTTTTGCATAATTGTATTAAACTTTGATTACTTAATTCTGAATTCGTTTTTCAATCTATCGCCCCTATTCCTTGAAACTGGATATGGACAAAGGAGGCTTGAATACGATCTCTTGTACTTTGTGTTTAAAATGAATATTAAAAGAAGGAACCTTTCCAAATAAAATGGCAATTTCCGTCAAATGTGGTTTTGAGACTCAATCACTCTGGATATTCAATCTTTGTTATATTTCTGTGAAATAGCATGAATTTCAAAACGTACATACATGGTCAAAGGTGGATGTACATATTGAAGAAATAGGGATAATACCGCCATTGTTTCCCCCTATTAGTCTTTGCTAAATTGACACACTTAAAAATGTGTGCAGATTTTGTCTTTTTTTTAAAAAAAAAAGAAATGCTTGTCAAGACTTCAAATGTATCAATATAAAAAAATGATGTAAAATTGAGAATGGAAATGGGGAATGTGTCAAAGAGACAACAACCCGACCATAGAGGAGACAACAGCCGAAGGCAACCAATGGGTCTTCAACGCAGCGAGATAATTCCGCACCCGGAGGCGTCCTTCAGCTGGCCCCTGTAGTATAATTGCAAATGATACAACTCTCCGTAAGAGACAAAATGACACAGAAATTAACAGCTATATGTAACCGTGCGGCCTTCAACAATAAGCCAAGCCAATACCGCATAGTAAGCTATAAAATGCCCCGATATCCAGAACTGAAATACACAGTAAAAATTCCACACAAAAGCTCATTGGATATAAGCAAATAACCATCATCGGAATTACACAAAGCATCTTTCCGTCCGTATTTCTTCTGTAACAAACTAAATAGTAACCAGGTCACCTTAAGTTTTCAATATACTTCATTAAAAACCAAACAATCAAAAATGAATTATGCTTTGAAACATTCAAGATAAAAAAAAAGAGGGCGAAAGATATCAGAGGGACATTCAAACTCATAGATCAAAAATAAACTGACAACGCCGTGGCTACAAAAGAAAAAGACAAATAGACAAACAATAGTACACAAAACACAATATAGGAAAATAAAGACTAAGCCGCAGTAACCAGGAAAACTATCAAAGACTTGTGGTGATATCAGGTGCTCCGGAAAGGTAAGCAGATCCTGCTCCACACGTGGCACCCGTCGTGTTGCTCATGTTATTACAACCCCGGTAAAAAGTCTAATTCGGTAGGTCACATTCGTGAAAAGGATATAAGTTTATGACTCAAAATACTTGTACCGAAAATGTGTAAAATACAAAAAGTACAAAATATCTTACTTGTACTCCATCTCTCATTTCCTCTGTAAACACTCTATCGCTAAAAAGACAGCCAGCCACATCGTTTGGATTGGCTAAATTCCTTACAATCTCTACTCTATTTTTTGCAAAAGCCTTTTTCCAATCCATGGTTGATCGACTAGAAAAAAAGTAAAAAGTAAACGGATTTTTGTCAGTGCACTTCATAAGTCAAAAGTAAACCGATATCCGATCATAAGTGTAATAAACATTTTTGTGAGTCATATTTGTTTTTTTTTTGTGTTGCTTCGACAAACCGTATGAAATTACCAAATGTGGAAAGTTAAAATGAGTATACGGTGCTCTTTTCATTAAAGGATTCATAATTTGATACACTAAAGCACTGGTCAATTTAAACAGATAGAATTTATAAAATTGTTCTTTGATAGTAACTACGATGCTAAGGGTTGGTTGTTTGTTAGCAAAAGCGTGGAAGTCTTACGACTGGAGTTCTAGTATCCTTTCATTGATATTACTTTGTATATTAAATCAACTCAATTTTCAACTTGACGGAATAAAAGAAGGTGGGTCTAGGAATCTTTGATAAAAAACAACTGTTCATTTTCAGTCTATTTATTGAATAAAATTAACATTTACATGACTATCTATAAACTTTTCATGTGTAAAAACAATATTTTTCAAAAGGCGACGAACAAGCAATATGTCCAAAAAAAATAGATCAGCAGCCTGTGTTCCAAATTTCCGTTAACAACAGTCTGCATTACAACAAAACTTGCAAAGAATCTACGGTTAACGAGGGCATTGTTCCCCTCCTATTTATCCATTTGTTTGACAACTTTTTGAGAAAGTGGTCCAGAAGGAAACTTGCAAGTAGTTTATCTATATATCTCATTTTGTTATAATCTCCATTAGTCGATGCAACTGCTGGTGGAGTTTTAATTCCCATAGTGTATCATCAGCACAGTTTTAAGCACTTCTGTGTTGACTTGGGCTATCATTGATATGTTCATAATAATTTATAAATTAACTGCTTACATAACTTTCAATTTTTAAAATGTTAAGGCTTTTATACCTCAGGAATAGATAACCTAAGCTGTATTTGGCAAAACTTTTAGGAATTTTTGGTCGTCAAAGCGCTTCAACTTCGTACTTTATTTTGACTTTTTATCTTTTTTTTATTCGAGCGTCACTGGTGAGTCTGGCGCAAATATGAAATGTCAATCCTGGTATCTATGATCATTTTATTCATATCGATGAATATCGATTACATCCTATTAGTAGTTGGTAACCATAAACGATACAAAATGATTTTTGAGCTGAATGAATGTTGAGATTAGGGATGAATGCATGATGACTGCTTGTTCCAAGATTGTGAATGAAAAGACAAAATGGCTTTACCATATCTTTGTTAAGGGGATACCATTTTTTTATTATCTGAACCCCCTCCTCAACCCCTTATTACAATTGAATGCAACTTTCTAGCATTCTTTGCATAATATTGAATATATATTACTATTGTGCACCTCCTATTTTGAGTTTTGATCAGAATGATAATCACGATTTCCTTTAGCAAAACATTACATACTTCAGTACGCATTTCAATACCCTTTCAAAAATCGCAAACTAGAAATTGAAAAATTTTCTCTGAAATTGCATCATATAAAGCCATTGTGCACATCTTTTTTTTTCTTTTAGTGGGACGTGGGGCATATAAATTTCTATGAATTATCCATATATGTATCTCCATAGGGGAGGCCAGGGGACCCCGACCCCCCCTTTCCACAAATCCGGCTCTAAAGGCAACAGAAATTAACCAATGTTAACTTTCCGGGGTCGAATACGATCCTGGAAAAATGGTAGATTTGCTTGTTCATTGATGTTAGAGATGCATGTTGGTCTATGTGTCATCTATTTGTCAGTGATTAATATTTTATGTAGTTTGTTCTTTCATTCCGTGTTGCCGTGTTACATGCGTGGGATGAAATACAATTTCTATTTTTATGTATATAATTCTTGGAAAATGTAGATATGAAAGATAACATAATATAACAATAAATATCAATAATAATTTCGAATTTAAAGTTATGAACAATGCCCATGATAACACCTCCTTTTCCACAAAAAAAAACATATTCTAATGTTTAAATGTGAAACTGTATTTAATGAAAATCGGAATGATTGGACGTATTTTCCTCGATTAAGTAAACCATGTAAACAATACAATGCCGAAAAAGATTTCACTTGTCCTTCGGTACTATCAGTATTTTGAAGGTAAAGAAACAAAATTACATTAGGGAACTTCTCTGCATATGAATAAATGTAGTAACTTTGTTTACGTTCTCGTTTTATTACACATTTTTGACAGATCAATAAACATATACTTACATTTTGTACACCTACACAATTAACTTCCTCATTCAGCCATAGAGAAATCTATTTTACCCGTATATAGGTCATTGTCTCCGATCAAGGATTTTGAAAAAATAAAAGAATGACAGAAAACGCCTGAAATTTATTTATGTATATCTCGAATACTACTAGACTTCTCTTATGTGAAAAAAAATCAATTTCCTTCTTTTTGTTTATCATGTTTATGTTGTTATTGTATTGAGTAAAATTTCTGGTTGTAATAAAAAGTATGTATTATTTAAAGTTTACAGTTTAACTTGAAAAATTTATGTGGTATATTTGTACGTAATCTTGTTTTTGTTTTTCATTATTGTCTTTCCATTCGACCTTTATAAAACCATACAGAGGATGCATCTGCGTTACACTGTAGCCTTCATTGAAACATTTTGAGGTGTTGAATTATTCCCTCTGCATCATTATTATTCCATGTTCAATGTCAGAATATTTCAAATAAGGGTTCAACAAAAAAGAGTTATATCATTCCATAAGACTTGTTTATGCTGGTCGTGTTGAGCCTACCATTGAGATTTAAAAACATTTTGCACAACAAAAACAGGGTCTATATAAATGTATCACCAGCAACAGAATTGCCTGTAAACAGCTTAAATCTCATCAAATTATCTCAATAGAATGGAGGGGTGATGATTCTAATTGGACAAGGTATTCTTACATGGGGCGAAGTATATTCAAGATATTACATAACCATTCCTAACCCTCCCCACACCTTATTATTCTTTTTAAAATTCTTTCCTTTACAATCAAATATATAAATAGGCCGCTGAACTTGTATATTTTATTTCCCCGTTCCTCCTATTTACCTTCAAATCGGACAATAAGATAATTCAGTTCATTTAAGATTTGCATCATTCATGTCTTTTGAAATACATGGGAATTCAAGAGGTTTGACGTCCCCACTTATATTAACCGCCTCGCATCCTAATAGATATTAAAAAGTGCAAAAACAAAAACAAAAACAAAAATACTGAGGTCCGAGGAAAATTCAAAACGGAAAGTCCCTATTCAAATGGCAATATCAAAAGCTCAAACCCATCAAACGAATGGACCACAACTGTCAAATTCCTGACTTGGTACAGGCATTTTCTTGTTAGAAAATGTTGGATTTGACCTGTTTTTATAGCTAGCTAAACCTATCACTTGTATGACAGTCGCATAAAATTCCATTATATTGACAAAACAAACAGACAAAATAGGTAAAAATGTCAAAAATAGGGATACAGTAGTCAAAGTTGTATTATTAACCTAATCACTATTATATTAAAAAAAAAACAAATAAATGATTAAACAAACATTTACCATGGCACAATGACGGGATGCATAAGTACAGAGCCACGTCATTTCAAAAGGTATATAGACAAAGCATATTAGCAAAAATGAATGACAAGAATACAAAAAATTTCATAGAACAATAACACAATGACGGGATGTATAAGTACAGAGCCATGTCTATCGATACCACTAAAAACAGACTTAACAGTATAAGTAATATTTATAAAGACAAAATAAAAGAATACTATAATACGTTTTTTAGATGTTAAACAACATCAGTACCAAGAATCTATACTTCAGACCATCGTGTATTATATGTGAAGTTGATACGGAATAATTATCAACAAGATGTTGGTACCTTCCGTTGAACTTTTTTTTAGAAAAAGGACGAAACGTACTTTGACATACACCAGATTCATTAACTTTCTGCTTAGACACTGGTGACGTTTAACGAAGTCTGAGTAGGAGCTGAAGGCTCTTGAATACCGAAAAAGTTGGGAAATATATATCCCATATGCAGGTGAAGTTGGTATATTACTACTAAGCTGTGAGAAATTGATAATTTCAAAATTAAAATCGTTTTGTTTGTCATAGATTCTGGTACTGAGATGACCGTGTATGTCAAATTAGAGGTATAAGTATAAAAATGGGGCGGAGGAAGCCCTGTCTGTTGTTATTTAATTTCTAGTTCTGGGGAATATATTAATGGAACCCGATCAGAAAAGTTTGGATTGTTAATGGAAAGATCATCAATATATCTGAATGTGAAATTAAATGACCTGGCTTTTTTTATCTTCTTGTTTTTGGAGATCGAGCAGTATAGATTTTAAGCTAGTATAACTAGAACGTAGAAACATTGAATAATAGCTGTATATATAGGTAGGTAGACAATTAAATCTAAAATACATAGCTATCTCCAGTGTTATCAAAAGTTGACATAGCACACTTTAACTAGAGGCTCTAAAGTGCATGTGTCGCTCACCTTGGTCTATGTGCATATTAAACAAAGGACACAGATGGATTCATGACAAAATTGTGTTTTGGTGCTGGTGATGTGTTTGTAGATCTTACTTTACTGAACATTCTTGCTGCTTATAATTATTTCTATCTATAATGAACTTGGCCCAGTAGTTTATACAGTGGAAAATATTTTGTAAAAATTTACAAAAATTTACAAAATTTATGAAAATTGTAAAAAATTTACTATAAAGGGCAATAACTCCGTAAGGGATCAATTGACTATTTTGGTGATGTTGACCTATTTGTAGGTCTTACTTTGCTGTACATTATTGCTGTTTTCAGTTTATCTCTATTTATAATAATATTCAAGATAATAACCAAAAGCTGTTAAATTTTCTTAAAATTACCAATTCCGGGGCAGCAACCCAACAACAGGTTGCCTGATTGGTCTGAAAATTTCAGGACAGATAGATCTTAACCTAATGAACAATTTTTAACCCGTCAAATTTGCTATAAATGCTTTGGTTTCAGAGATATGAGTCAAAAACTGCATTTTACCCTATGTACTATTTTTAGCCATGTCGGCCATCTTGGTTCGCGGGCGGAGTCATCGGACACATTTTTAAAACAAGATACCCTAATGATGATTGTGGACAAGTTTGGTTAAATTTGTCTTAGTAGTTTCAGAGGAGAAGATTTTTGTAAAAGATTACAAAAATTTACGAAAAATTGTAAAAAATTGACTATAAAGGGCAATAACTCCTTATTTGTAGATCTTACTTTGCTGAACATTATTGCTGTTTACAGTTTATCTCTATCTATAATAATATTCAAGATAATAACCAAAAACAGCGAAATTTCCTTAAAATTACCTATTCAGGGGCAGCAACCCAACAACGGGTTGTCCGATTGATCTGAAAATTTGTAGGGCAGATAGATCTTGACCTGATAAACAATTTTATCTCGTCAGATTTGCTCTACATGCTTTGGTTTCAGAGATATAAGCCAAAATCTACATTTTACCCCTATGTTCTATTTTTAGCCATGGCGGCCACCTTTGTTAGTTGGCCGGGTCAACGGACACATTTTTTAAACTAGATACCCCAATGATGATTGTGGCCAAGTTTGGTTAAATTTGGCCCAGTAGTTTCAGAGGAGAAGATTTTTGTAAAAGTTAACGACGACGACGGACGAAGACGGACGACGGACGACGACGGACGACGGACGAAAAGTGATGAGAAAAGGCAATAGAAGTGTACCGGTTTCAAAAGTTATTATTCGATTGAGAGACAAACTTGACAAATTGACAAACTTAAACCGAAGGAAACACATCAACTTTTTGTAAGACTCACACGACGACTTTTACAATTTACAATAACTGAATCAGAACTGACGACAATTCTTCAAATCCGCATCATTCCGCACAGGTTCATAAACGGTACAGTTCTGAAAAAAAAATCAATTTTGTTACTGTTCCAGAAATTCGTCATCCCTTACTGAACACAATTTTTTAAATCATTTTAAATTTAGGAATATATCTATCTCGTGCTAAGATCTGGTTCATTGTCCGGCTTATCACCACCAGGTCGGAATCTCTGATGGTGGACAGTACTCTCCCCGAGAATTCTACCAGTTCGATAGCCTAACAGCATCAATGCAAGTCGAATAGAATCGAAATATGACTATATTGAACAGTGGTATACTACTGTTGTCTCTATTTATGATATTGTAGATTTTAGTCATATAACCCATGGTGATCTAACACACATTTTTAAGATAGGGGCTGAAAAACGGGGAATGTGTAAAAGAGACAACAATCTGACCAAAGAGCAGAAAAAAGCCAAAGGCTACCTATGGGTCTTCAACGCAGCGACAAGATTCCGCATCCCGAGGTGGTCCTCAGCTGGCCCCTAATTAAAAGTGTATACTAGTTATGTGAAATGGACACCGAGCTTACCAAAATTTAAAACACACACACACACGACTTAGAAAGTCTTGAGGTGCTCGACTAGGAACAGGCGCAAACAGACAGCGGGGTTACACATGTCTTGTAAGATTTCAACCCCCGCCCTAATACCTCGAGTCAAAATTGAATTAAACGAACACAAAGCAATTTGCACAGAAAAATTCTGAGTCAGATGTTAGAATAATTACAAGAAGAACATAGCAAAATGGCAATGACCAACAACAAATAACAAAGTTGCTGTTTTATCATTGAAAACAATTTCAAAAGAAATTTAAAAACAAGTAAAATTCCTTTAAATATAATTTTCAGTTTGGTTGTTTACCAAGAAAGATGTAAGTACAAACGTTTTCAGTTATATAGTTTTTAGTTTAAATCATATGTATGTCTTTTAAAAGTGTTTAAAAAAAATATTTTTTTCCCAGTAAGAATTGTACATTTTTCATATTTTCTATTGAAATTTAATGTCCTTTAAAATCAACTTTTTTGATTTGAAACGGGAAGGCAGCAGAAATATTTTATACATTCTCATTCTATATAAGCAAATCACTAAATTGGTTAGCAAACGAACTGCCCTTTTTATTTTTATCTTAATCTTGAAGTCGCTGGAATATTTTCAAAGTTTGGTCAAATGGTTTGATGTCAATGTATCTGATAGTAATTCGATGTCAGTTTTTCTTTTCGTTTGTGTGATTACAAAATTTAAAAGCGACCATACAGCCAACACCGAGGAAGAATAAAACACACACACACACACGCAGACAGACGCATCAATCAACTATCCACATAATTTTTGTGCCATTTGTAACCACACATGGTTCGTTTTTAAGATTTGCATC